CTGGCTCCCAACCGCTCGCCTGCCTGCCTGCCTGATTGCCCCTAACCACTTCTGCCTGCCAGCCTGATCACCCCCGAACCACTCCCCTGCCAGCCTGATTGATGCCTAACTGCTCCCCTGCCCGCCCGATCACCCCAATTGCCCTCTCCTGTCGGCCCAATCACCCCAACTTCCCTCCCCTGCCAGCCCAATCACCCCCAAAGCCTGTCCTACACCCTCTTGCAATCCAGGACCCCTCAGGGGATGTCAGAGAGCCGGTTTCAGCCCAATCCCGCAGGCCACAGGCCAGGTTGAGGAACCCCACTGGTGCACAAACTTGTGCACCAGACCTCTAATATATATATATATAAAAAATACTAGAGGCCCGGTGCACAAAATTCATGCACTGGGAGGGGGAGGGTGTCCCTCAGCCCAGCCTGCACCCTCTCCAATCTGGGACCCCTCAGGGGATGTCTGACTGCCGGTTTAGGATCCCTGTGTGATCGGGCCTAAATCGGCAGTCAGACATCCCTCTCACAATCTGGGACTGCTGGCTCCCAACCGCTCGCCTGCCTGCCTGCCTGATTGCCCCTAACCACTTCTGCCTGCCAGCCTGATCACCCCCGAACCACTCCCCTGCCAGCCTGATTGATGCCTAACTGCTCCCCTGCCAGCCTGGTTGCCCCTAACTGCCCTCCCCTGCTGGCCCGAATGCCCCTAACTGCTGGCCCAATTGCCCCGAATGCCCTTCCCTGCCCGCCTGGTCACCCCTAACTGTCCTCCCCTGCAGGCCTGGTCACCCCCAACTGCCCTCCACTGCCAGCCTGGTCACCCTCAACTGCCCTCCCCTGCTGACCTGGTCCCTGCCAACTGCCCTCCCCTGCAGGCCTGGTTGCCCCTAACTGCCCTCCTCTGCCGGCCATCTTGTGGCGGCCATCTTGTTTCCACATGGGGGCGGCCATCTTCTGCAGGCCTGGTCACCCCTAACTGCCCTCCCCTGCCAGCCTGGTCACCCCCAACTGCCCTCCCCCTCAATCCTGGTTGGGGTGTGTGCAGGAGGCAACCAATCTCTCTCTCTCTGCCTCCCTCCCTGCCTTCCTTCCACTTTCTAAAAAGCAATGGAAAAAATATCCTTGGGTGAAGATTTTTTTTTAATGGTAATAATAAAGGGGATGGGAGGAAACTTTGAGATGTAATGGACATGCTTTTGATTGTGGTGATGGTTTCACAAGTGTATACTGATTCCCAAATTCATGGAATTACATACATTAAACATGTGCAGCTTTTCACATGTTGATAATACCTCAATAAAGTAGTTTTTAAACAGCGAAATACATCCCTGAATGAGTCTTAAGTATGTGATCTAAAGGAAATATATCTGCAGGTTGACACAGTGGGGGCCCCAGTGTGAAACCACTGGTTTATAGATACTGGAGCAAAAAACCAAAGTGTGGGAGCTGGACGATGGGGCTGTGACCACGCATGGTCAAGGGAAGGGCAGGGCCATATGGAGGTGGTAGTTGGGGGGTCCTGAGCCAGTTATTGAGGGGAGAATCAGAGTTTACCTGATAGCCAAGCTGAGGGTTAGGTCAATTCAGGGGCAGGGAGGCCTGGCTGTGCACTCCATGTAGGAAGGCCAGGCTGTCCCAGAGTCTGGTGTGACATGTGTGAGCTGGGGCCCGGGAAGGCAGGCAGAGAGCCTTGGATGTCGGAGTGCAGTGCAGCTTGAATTCTGATGGAGACAGGTCCAGAAAGAAGCACCAGGGTGGTCCTATAAAGAGGCAGCAGTTCAGTTGCTGTAAAGTCTGGGCTGGTGACCAATGTGGATAAAGGGTGCAGGGGTACAGGCTCCATCTATGGTACCCTCTGCCAGGCAATGTGAAGCCCACTGTGGTTTGAGCATGCATTTTCCAAGGAAAGCTGAAATTCCAATTTTGAAACATGAAATCTGATCATTTTGAGTATTGGGTTCACAACTTGAAAACACTGTTTGGGGTAAACTGAGCATTTATGTGGGCAGATTCAGCCCTGGCTGACAGTTTTTATCTTTGCCTTGGACTTGGGGCTCCTGAGGGTGGGGTGGCATTGGTCCATATTTGGTGTATCTTGGTGTCCCCCTGGGGGCCACACAGAGGCTCAGTGTACTTCAGTTCCTTCAGGCTATTTTTGACAGTTTGGCCTCACAAGCCCCGGGTTGGAAGATGGGGGTGGGAATGACATAGGCAGAGTCCCTTGCCCAGCCAGGGCTCAGCATAGTCCAGCGGCTCTGGCCTTAGTGACTAGAACTGAAGACTCTGGGCAGATGGTGCCCCTAAGGCCCGTCCATGACCTTTCAGCCCAGCACCTCGCTCTGCCAAGTGGGAGATTCTGCCCTCTGGGACCCTCCTCGCTGCTCCCCCACCTTGTCTGTTGTGCTCTGGGAATCTGAACCATCTCATCTTTGCCCTGCAGGCTGGCCTGATTCGTATGGAGGAGGAGGAGTTCTTTATCGAGCCCCTGGAGAAGGGGCTGGCAGCGAAGGAAGCTGAGCAGGGTCGTGTGCATGTGGTATATCGCCGGCCATCTAACTCCAGGCTCCCTTCTCTCGGGGTGCCACAGGCCCTGGACACAGGTAAGGCTGCTGCAGGTGGGCAGGCTGTGTGGTAAGCCCTGGATGTCCACCCTGTGGGACCCAAGGCACCCCTTCTGCAGGCCTGGTCCCAGGCTGAGGCTGAGCCCTGCCCTTGTGGACCACATAGCACAGTGTGGGTACAGGGGAAGGGGCCTCTGCTCTGGGTGTATGTGGGCCACAACCTGCAAGTCTGGGGCCTCCATAGAGGACAGTAAAAGCTGCCTCAGAGTCCTCCTTTCTCTGCCCAAGGGCTTGCATGTGTCAGGAAGCAAAGGAGGCCCAAGTCCTGAACCCATGTCTGTGACCCTGTGCCTCTGAAGATGCCTGCTGCCCCCAAACAGCCTCTGTCCCCCACCTGTTTGCTGCCCACTTTCCCTGCCAGGGTGACTGCTCCTCTTGGCTGGTTTCAGAGAAAGCCCCTGAGTGCTCTGCGAGGAGAAGGAAGTGCACCACGAAGGCCCGGGGCTTCTCCCAGCAGCCTCAACAGCCTGTGCAGATTTACCTCGTTTTGTCTTTTTCAACTTAGAACCAAAGTGCCTTCTGGGCCCAGGAGTGTGGAAGGAGCTGTGGGGCAGGCATGATGACAGCCCCTCAGAGCCTTCCAGGAGGCCAGACTCACTGACCATCCCAAACCTTTCCAGCATTTTCATGATCTCAGGTCGTAGATTACAGTGAGGCCAGGCCTCAGCCTGAGGTCCTAGATCCCTGGCTAGTGGCAGGTGGCAGCAGGCACAGAGGCCTGGGTCTTGGGTCAGGCACATCTGCATGTTTAAGTGAGCCCCAGAGGCCCCACTGGGCTAGCCCACCTGGGCTGTGATTTGCAGAGACTCTCTCCTCACCCCGAGCAGTCCTGGCTCATTTATCTTAGATCTGTGACATCCCAGCTTGACAGATAAATTGGGTGCAGCTTGGCAGGGCACCATTCTAATTTCAAGGAGCAGTGTCACATATCTTTACAAAGGAATTGCTCCCTCAGGAAGCCTAGCACTGTCTGGAGCTGATCAATACTCTGGTGGTCCCTTGGTCCAGGTGATAAATTGCTGTCTGCCTGGGCTGTGAACAGCAGTGCCTCGCTGCCCCACTTCCCCCAGCCTCAGCCCCTCCTGCCTCTTTCCCACCCTTGAGCTTCTCTGCAGGGGGAGGAATGAAGAGTAACCCCATAGGGTGTGGCTGTGAGTGATAATGGGGCAGGGAAAGTACCTCAGACCAGGGACCACCAAGACCCTGGCCTTGTTTCTTGATGGCCTGTTGCTCTCGGGCAAGTTTGGGCCTCTGTCTTCTCATCTGTCCAGTGGGGCTAGAAAAGCCTGTATCTCAAAGAGCTGAGGGCCTGGAACTTTGTGCTTTGGACCTGGGGCTTCTGGGCTGGCCTCTACTGGTGGTGCCTGGAGTCTGGCTCATGCTGGGTGAGGGGCTGCCAGGTACCTTAGGTGAGTTTCCAATCCCACATTCCATGTGGTGCTTGTCCTAAACATGACAGCCCTCCACCATGGCCTGGCTGGCCTTGCATTATTAGCTGTGCTTCTGTTGGTCTTTGGGCATCTTCTGTTAAATCTTCCCCTTTCCCTCTCCCCTATCCACCTACTTTGGTGAGAGCTTGGAATTCAGAACTTAAGAAATTTCAAACTCAGAATAAGCCCAGAAACCATTGGCTTCAAAGATACTGGGAAAGGCCAATTACACCATTTGGGGGCTGAGGCTATGCTGGAAGGGGGGAAGGGGAGCCTGTCCCAGGCTGAGCTCTGGGCCTCAGCCCTGGGCTGTGGGTGTGTAGGTTCTAGGCCACAGGTCTAGGGCCAAGTCCCCTTTCCTTTATGTGCCTGCCCAGTGTCAGCATGACCCTGTGTGGGTGACTTCACTCACAGAAAGCATATTTCTCCCTGAATGTGCTTAATTGTTCACACTTGGCCTAGTGCTGAGGCCTATTCACTGGCTGGAGGGGTTCAGGTGCACGTTATATTGGGCTGGGCTAAGGGCCCAAGGTGACATCAGATGGTTTGGACCCACTCACCATCAGCCTGGGCCCAGTTAGGGCCCACAGTACAGCTGGGACAAATGGGAAAGTAGTGTCTTTGGCTGGGTACATTTGCTCCTTGACCTTTCCTGCAAGAGAATATGGAGCCCAGGACCTCTGTGTATGTGCGCGGTAGGGGGATCCTTTTTCCTGGTGAATTCTGATGGGGACCCTGACATCAATGTAGCTCTGGCTAAAGCAGGCAGGAAGCTTCCAACCTCCCCCGTCCCCATTCCCCTTACCTACTCCTGGAAGCACATTTGAATGCTGCCCTCAGCCATTTATTTATGGGCAGTGGGTGTGATGGGTCCCTTGGCCTGCTGGTCTGGCTGGAGGTGGGGTGGGGTGGGTGTTTCCCATGGCTACTCCAGCATGCTGAGATACATTGCCCTATTTTCCCTGAGCAGCCAGCAGGCTTTCTGGAGTGTCTCAAGGCCTTACTAATAGTCTCCATCACCTGAGGTTAGTTGCAGGGTTTCAGATTGCCCACAGAAACAGGTGGAAAATGAAGGTTTTAACATGTCTTCAAGTACTCGGCCAACAGCGAGTGTGCACTTAGCAGCTTAGTGCCACCAGTGTCATTTTGGAGTCCTGAAAGGGAGGGTATAGGGTGAACAGGGAAAGGGAAAGGACTCCTCCCTCCTCACTGGCCTTGCAGGTGTGGCAAAAGCTGCTCTGCTATACTCTGCTGAGTCCAGGAGCCTAGCCAGGGTAGGAGGGCAGAACTCGGAGGCCAGGGAACTAGGGTGGCCTTTAGGGGAGAGGCCTCTCTCAGGCACCGAAAGTTCCATTCTCTGTCTCCCCCAGAACCAGCCATGTGCCCCCAGGGCAGTATGTTGGGGATACGGGTACCATGTAATATTGGCATCTCTGGTGTGTGTGTGTATGTGTTTGCACATGCCCACATACTTGCACAGGGCCCCACTCCAAGTTCTGCACTCCTGCCTGAGCCCTGCCCCAGTTGCCATCTGTCAACCCATTGTCTGAGGTTTTTGAAGGGAAGCCATGGGCTGGTAGGTGGGAAGAGAAACCCTAGCCTTTTGATCCTGGCATATCACTCCCCTCCTAGTCTCAGGCTACTTCAACATACCACCACCAACCGGGTGGTTCCAAACAACATCAGTTTATTCTCTCACAGTTCTGAAGGGCAGAAGTTTGAAATGAATATTACTGGGCTGAAATCAAGGTGTTGGCAGGGCCACACTCCTTCCAGAGGCCCTGTGGAGGAATACATTCCTCACCATTCCCAGCTCCTGGTGGCTGCTGGCATCCCTTGGCTTGTGGCCACATCACTCTGATCTCTGTCTCTGTGGCCACATTGCCTCCTCCTCTTTTCTGTGTGTGTGAGTCTCCCTGCTGTCAGAATGCATGTGATTGCATCCACCCAGATCATACATGGCAATATCCCCCGTCACAAGATCCATAATCTAATTATATCTTCAAAGTCCTTTTTTGTCATATATGGTAACATTCATAGGTCCCAAGACTTAGGACCTTGTATCTTGGAGGGCCATCATTCAGCTTATACAGGGAGTGAATCAGTACTCCCCTGTAGGGTGGCTATGCAGTGAAGGGGTGCACATCTGTCAGGAGTGATGCTTGAGGCCTCGCTCACTTCTCGGGATAATGTTCAGGCATAGCCCAGGCAAGCCCCTTAACCTGCCTCTGCTGGGCCCTCATCCAGGCTGTGGGGCTCTGAGAGGCTGGGCTGTGCTGTGACTGGGTTGTGCTGTGGTAAGGCTGATCTCAAAGCCATGTGCACAGAGTAGACTGTTCCTCCAAATGCCTGGCTGTTAAGCGGGAGGGGGTTTGAACTCGTGGAGGGAAAGATCCCTGGGTTCTGTGCTGGGCATGTGGTCTCTCTGTCAGGCACACAGTGACTTTCCCAAAAGTCTTGCCATCCCAAGACAAGGGCTGCAAGTTCAGAAGCCTGCAGGGCCCAGCAGGCAGTGCCAATGAGGATGGCCCCAGGGGCCAAAAAAATAATTACACCACCCTTGGCCTGGTTTTTGTTTCCCTGCTTTTGACATAGATGTGGACACAGAATATGTCTCTGCTAAAAGAGGAACAGAAATGGGAATGCAGCAGCACATAGCCTCTGCCCGGCCTCACCGAGGGTGCAGGGCAGAGCAGAGACCCTTACTTCGCTTTTGATGGTGACCTGGTGGGAGTGTGGGCTTGGGGCAGTGATCCTCTTACTGCCAAGAGAATCTAGACATTAAAATTTTATGTGAACTCTCCAGATTTTCAAATGTTGCTTCAAATTTATGAAAAGCACCATATGGGCCCAATAAAACACAGCCCCCCATTGGACACCTGTGCTTGTGAGATACCGCAGCAAAGTGTCCTCTGAACCTCTGGGGTTGCTCTTCTGAGCCTTGGAACAGAGGAGGGGCTGTCAGCTCCTGCTAGGCAGGTGGCTATGGGTCCCTAGAACTGACTCTGGGCCACTGTACCCTCCCACTCCACCTTACCCTGAGCCCTGGCTGAAGGAAGAGCAGTCAGACAGCTCAGTGCCCTTGACCTTGGCTGACTCCTCCTGGAAGCAGCCAGTGCCAAGCCTCTGCCCACTGCCATCAGGCTGTGGCGTCCTCCCTGGTGGGCAGAGTTGGAATGTCACCTGCCCTGAGGAGTGCTTTCCCTGCCACTGCCAAGGAAAGCCTGTGAGAGAGAGAGAGAACAGCGTTAGCGCTGGAGTCTTCACCCAGCAGCCCCCAGTTCTTCCTCCCCTGCTCACCTGCTGCAGGTTTTCCATGTTTCTGAGGTGCTGCCTTGGGAGTGAAGCTTGTGGTAGGTGAGCAAGGCCAGGAACCAGATGACTGGAGCTAATAATGCTGGTGGCTCCCAGGGGCTACCTCCTGGAATGTTAGAGCCGAGACAGGATGGCTTCCTGCAGACAGTGGGCAGCCTCCAAGAGAAAGGGGCCTGGCAGCTAGTGCTGCATTATAGCCAGCTGCTCTGGTCCAGGCTGGAGGCAGGGAGGCCA